TTTTTTTTGCAGTTTTTTGCCGGGGCTGGGTTTGAACCTGCAGCCTCTGGCATATGGGGCTGGCGCCCTACTCCTTTGAGCCACAGGTGCCGCCCTTGGGGTGGTTTCCTTAATCCATGCCTGTGTGCCCCTTGAGAATGTGGCTCCCAGGGCCTCTCCTCTGGGCACTCGGGGTGATGCTGCTCTCTGACTGGCACCTCTGCTTTTGCCCACAGCCGGGCCATTCTGCAGGAGGTGCTTGATGCAGACCTGAGTGACGAGGCCTTCCCTTTCTCCACTCACAAGCTGGTGACAGCTGCCGGGCACCTGGTAGGTACCAGCTGGCTGTGTCCTCTGGGCGGTGAATGGCAGCAGGGAATAAGCCCAGCTGGGACCTGGGGGCCAGAAGCCTTGGGGGTCCCTGTACCTCCCTGGGCCTTGCTTCCTAACTATGAAGCTGTCAGGAACTCAGAGGGTGCTGGGGCCAAAGTTGCAGGGGACTCAGCCCCAGGGGAGGCAGCCTTGGCCTCACCAATGGCACATCTACCTCTGTGTCCTGCTTCTCCAAGGTACAGGGCAGCCCTCCTGAGTTAGAGAGACTCCCTGCAAGTAACAGGGCAGAACTCTGTGTCCTCCGAGCACCTCCCCAATCCGTGCTGTGGATGGGAGGCTACACAGGTGGGGGACAGTCCATCCTGGTGCTGAGCCTGTCCTCCTGAGACTGGGTGGTGTCGGGTACTGGTGCAGGAGGCTTCCTGAGACCTGGGGTCAGTCCTGGCTGCAGCTGCAGGTCAGCTTGTCTCGTCTGGGCCACAGTTTCCTGCAGCATTATGACCTTTGTCTTGACCCTGCTGTGACCCTGCTGTGAGTCGCTGATGGTAGAAATGTGAATGCAGCGCCTCTCGCCAAGGCCTCCGGCACACGCACTCAGCACCTCACATGTGTATTTCCTCCTGTAATCCTCATGGTGACTCAGAAGGTTCTGTCACAGGATCTCTGACCTTAGCACACTGACATTTGGGAGCAGACACCCTGTGCCGTGGGGTCTCCTGCCTCCTCAGCCTCGCCTGCTCGATGTCAGCAGCAGCCTCAGCTGTGGCAGCCACAGAGGTATCCAGACATGGCTGAGCATCTCCAGGGTAGGACCTCCCATTTAGAACCTCGGTCGGTGACTGCTCTGCTCATTGGCAGCCCTGTAAGGTGCCCTTGCTGCAGGACAGCCAGGTATGCAGGGCCTTCCAGAGCTCACGAGGGAAGTAAGGGTACCCAGAGTGATGGGCGTCACCCTGAATGGTGCTCAGGGACTGGCTGGACTGGCCTGCTCATGGCCACCTAGCTAATGAAGCCTGAGAGCACCAGTGTGTGTTGTGGAAATGGCGTGGCCTTAAGGTGTGGAGATGTGGGTGCACCTCCCCTGTTCCCATGCCCCATGTGTTCATCTGGGGCTTCTGGTGGGAAAAGTGCTAAGGAAGGTTGGAGGATAAGGTCCTGGCCTGCAGAGGGGCTGGAGGGCCTGGAGGACAAATCTGTGTACTGTTAGCAAATAAACCATGTGGCGGTGACAGCAGAGGGGAGGCTGCCAGAGCCCAGGGGAGATAAAGGCGGCTCTGCAGAGCTGAGGAGCTGGCCAGGCTGCACTGGGGGGCAGGAAGCTGGGCCGCCACTGTCTAGCCTGCTTCCCACCTCCTTGGTGCAAGGCTGCCTGCTAGGACCAGAGAGGGTGGGCTCTGGGAGAGCAGCACAGCTTAACTCTGGGCCATGGTGGCGTCCAGACTGCCCTGACTCCAGCTTGAGCTACCGTGGGGGTCCCTGCACTGTCCAGCTTTGTTTGGGGCCAAGCTCAGACTTGTAGCAAGGGAGGGGAGCTGTGGGTTTTTTCCCATCTCACTAGGCTTGGTGTCGGCTCTGCCTGTTTGGTTTGGCTGCTGGAGGGGGGAAGACCAGGTACCCATTGCCTCCCATCCCAAGGCCTCACCTCCAGCAAACAGGCAGTCTCAGCTGCCTCCCCTGCCCCAGGGGCCAGCCCTTGCCTGCACAGTGGCTATGCTTCCAGGATGACTCCCCAGGGTGACAGGCAGGGCCAGGAATGAGGTGTAGTGCCCAGGGTGCTAGCCCCCCAGTGTGGCACACAGTGTGCTATGGCTTTGTAAAGTCGATCTCATTGTTCCACTTCGGAGCATGACCATGGGCCACGGGCCCAGGCAGACCTTACTTCTAGCAAGCCTTCTTTGGGCATGACCTTGGCCCCTCTGAGCCTGCCTTGTGTCAGCTCTAGAGTGAGGATCTTAGATTCCCAGGCAGACTCCATGCAATGCTTCACAAAGTTTGCCTGCAGCAGGGTGGCTAAGGACTTGGTGGCCAGCAGCGTCTCCCTGTGGAATTCAGGGCCATTCGCAGAGCATGTACAAGGTAGCCGTGCCTGGAGCAAACTGTGGTTGCAGGGTCAGTGTCTGTCCTGTGAGCTTCTCTGATCTGTGGTCACACAGTTTGCGCATACTGCTCTGTTGTCAGAGCATGTTATGATCGTTTCCTCATCCCTTTGTGTATTCCCTAAGAGCCACTTTTATTTTATATCATTTTATTATTTATTTTTGAGACTGAATCTCACTCTGTTGCCCTGGGTAGAGTGCTATGGCATTATCATAGCTCACAGCAACGTCAAACTCCTGGGTTCTAGCGACCCTCCTGCCCCGCCCTCTCGAGTAGCTGGGACTACAGGCGCCTGCCATAACACCCGCCTGAGACCACTCTTAATGACCACACACTCACCCCTCAGTTTTGTGAGCAGTGCTCTGGGCGTGAACATGTACACAGGTCTACTTCCTCACCTTGGAAATGGCCTGCGAGAAGCTTCCCTTGCATGTAAGCCTCTCCGGCCCTCTGGTTACTGACCTGAGACAGAGATCTGGACCTGGGTCCCTAGTCAGAGCCTCAGGTTGTTCTGTGTCTGTCCTTTTGCATTTGCTGGGCCCCTGCCTGTGCAGCGAACTGTCCTGAGTCTCTGGCAGGGTGGGAGAGAAGCCCAGAGTTTTCTGGGCTAGGTCCCTGTCTGCAGGAGGTCATGGTGACAGAAGGGTCACCTTCCAGACTGGATAAAGCAGAAATGTGTGTCGCTCCCGGAGGGACTGCCGAGAGAGGGTGGCAAGGCCAGGCTCCTGGGAAGGGCGCGGGCCTGAGATTACTGGGGCTGTTCTTACAATACCATCGGCTCCTGCTGGACCTTGCTGGATGCTCAGCTGAGTTCTAGCATTTGCTTTTGAAATGAAGGACCTTTCCACAGTGCTGGGCCTCCTGCCCACACACTTCCCTCCACTGACGCTCGCCTGGCTTCAGCATGGATTCTGGACACATTGGCTGGGTGCCGGCCTCGGGCCTCTGGGGTGGAGGGTGCGGCCCTGACCTCAGTGGGCCCAGCCCTGCCTGCACTACAGAGGGGCTGAATAGTAACTGGCCAGGCGGAGTGAATAGTAACTGGCCAAAGAGTTGTCAGGGAGGGGAGAATCCCCAGAGATGGTCACAGAGGAGAACTGGGTCTTGGTAAGAGAAAGACAAGCTGGTGGACAGACTGCTATTGCCTGGGCCTCTCGGACTGTGCTTGGGTGCCTCTGCCCTAGAACTGACCTGATTGGTCTGGTCAGTGAGTCTGGGGCCCACAACAGCCGGCCTATACCCCACCCACAGCCCCATACAGCACCCAAGCTCTGTCCCTGCATCCAGCACCTCCCAGATCCTTTGGCAGGACTGGAGGAGCAGATGCCTCAGGGCTGAGGGGTCCTTCTCTCTCCCTGGCCTCATCCAGAAGCTCATCCCACTGGCTTCCAGCCAGCTCCCAGGGCCTCATCCTTAGGAAGGCCCACTGACCTCAGAGTATACACGTTACTGTCACCAGGCCTAAGGGGCTGGTTCTGTGGGGCCACTCACATGCTCATGTCTGTGTACTCTGGGACTACTGGGGAAGGCGGGGTGTGAGTGACAGGGTTCCTTGTCTGCTCCCAGAGACCAACAGCAGCATCTTTCCCTCTTCATCTCATCCTTCCCGTGGTTCTTGGGAGTGGCCAGCAGGGTCTTGGAGGTCAGGTCTGCACATGTTATGAGGGGGACTTGGAGTTGCTAGGTGGCTGGACAGTCCAACTCCCCTGATATGAGGGCTGGAGACATTAAGGAATGGAGTGGAGTAAAGGTTGTGGGTCAGCCAAGGACCCTGTCCTCAGTGACCACTGTGGGGGTCTGGGCAGGTGTGGATGAGAGGGGTTGGGGAGGTGTGGACGAGAGGGGGGCAGGGGGAGGTGTGGACGAGAGAGGGCAGGAGCTTTGGTCCTTCAGGTTGATGTTCTGGGTCTTCTGACCTGTAAGTCTGTCCCTTAAAGCCCCTCAGGCCACACATTCTCTCGTGCCTGAGCCGAGGACATGTGGCTTCCTCTGCCCCAGCCAGCATAAAGGGTGGAGACTCAGCCATTGGGAGGACTTCAGGCTGTGGATGCTGAGGCTAGCCGCCACCCTTTGCCCCATGGTGGGCCTTGCAGGCAGGAGGGAGTTGGGTCAGAACTGATGCTGAGGGGTCTTGGGGCCAAAGTCATATTACCCCAGCACTCAGCAGAGCTGGGAGCCAGGAGCTTGACTTTTAGACCTGCCTGAGCCTTCTGTGGAGTGCCTTTCTGGGCCTCAGTTTCCCCATCTGTAACACAAAAGCTAGACCAGGCATCCTCAAACTACGGCGCATGGGCCACATGCAGCCCGCCTAGGACGTTTATCCAGCCTGCCAGGTGTTTTTGCTGCCGCTGCCTGTCCTGCTTAGCAGCCAACTCGTCCCAGGGCCCACAGTCTGGCCCTCCAACAGTCTGAGGGACAGTGAACTGACCCTCTGTTTAAAAAGTTTGAGGACCCCTGGGCTAGACAATGTCTAAAATTCCTTCTAGGCCATCCCAGTAGTCTTTCCAGACACTCTGAATTCCCTGAATCCAGGGAGAATTTCATATTCTCCTAAATAATGTCTTGTACTGGCTTAGAAACGTGTTGACGACGTATGTCTCAATGTGGAGAAATGCCGGGCCAGAGCATGGGGCTGGGCCAAGTATTTATAGGACATCAACTGGACTCCAGCCAACCAGACGCGGGTGAGGAATGTGTGCGCCTGTGTAGTCAGCAAAACCACCCGGTCGAAAGGAGACGTAAGAATGAAGCAGAAGCCAAAAACTGCAGACCCAGGCCCAGGGCGGGACAGCAGAACCCCTGCTGCTGCTCAGTGACCCCCACTCACAAGACAACTTGGAGCTGGCTTCCGATGAGCGTCCTCGGCTGCTGTTTTACAAGCATTCTCCTCTGAAGTGCTT